GGTCACGCCGCAATCCCTTCTCCTCCATTCTCCTCTCGGGATCTTGGGCACGCACGCACACGCGCCCGGCATGAGTTTAAGCCACCGAGTCCGGGACACGAACTGCGGTTGACTATGTGGGAGTCCAGTGACATAGCCATTATGCTAACTGCTGGTTCCTTCTCTCTCTGTCTTTATGGCGCGCATACGTGCCCTATAGCAAAAACCTCTAAAAGCAAGCAAGCAAGGAAGCAAGCGAGAAAGAAAGAAAGAAAGAAAGAAAACAAAAACAAAAAATCAAGCAGGGGGCTGGAACCAAAGGTAGGCGTTCAGCCTCATCAGCCCTTAAGGGGCGCTGCGTGAGGCCACTAAGTGCCTCCCTCCTCTGCAGACCAGCGGGAACCCAGCGCTCCTCATCAGTGCTGATGGGGTGTCAAGCAGCTGGGCCCCCTTCCCGCCCCTGCAGGGAACGCTCGTTATGCTTGGAAAGCAGGTTAGAGCTGGCAGCCGCGCGCGCGCACACAGCACGTCCTCGAGAGGAACTGGCTGCCGCGTCGGGAGGCGCGCAGGAGTACCCGGTGCAGCGCAGTCGGCCAGCAGAGTCCCAGCGCCATCCAGAAAGCTATCATCTCTCTCTCTGTCATCTCTCTCACTGTCTCTCTCTCTCTATCATCTCTTTCTCTGTCTCTCTCTATCATCTCTCTGTCTCTATTATATCTATCATCTCTTTCTCTGTCATCTCTATCATCCTGTTCATCTCTCTATCATCTCTCTCTGTCTCTCTCTTTCATCTCTCTCTATCTCTTTCTATCATCTCTCTGTCTCTATCATCTGTCATCTCTCTCTGTCATCTCTATCATCTCTATCATCTCTCTATCATCTCTCTCTATCTCTATCATCTCTCTGTTTCTCTGCCATCTCTGCTTCTATCATCTCTCTCTATCATCTCTCTCTGTCTCTCTATCATCTCTCTCTATCTCTATCATCTCTCTCTGTCTGTCATCTTTGTCTCTATCATCTCTCTCTGTCTCTCTGTCATCTCTCTCTGTCTCTATCATCTCTCTCTGTCATCTCGTTCTGTCATCTCTATCTCTCTCATCTATCATTTCTCTCTATCATCTCTCTCTGTTATCTCTCTCTCTCTCGGTTGTGAGACAGTTACACAGTGGAAGGAGGAGGAGTTCTGTATAATTGCATAGACGAGATTTAGGACTGGACCTGAGTTTGTCTTTTCTTTTTTCTTTCTTCCGTTTTTTAATGACGGTGAAATCTCTTGCTTGCTTAGGGCACTCGGCGCTCTCCGGAGAGAGACGGAGGGCAGGTGGGGGGTTTTAGGCAGGCAGGCATTCCCAGCTCAGTACCAGGGTTTTTTTCATAAGGTTTTCACCGTAGGATGTGTGCACTCGCTGGAGACGGAGAGAGGGAAGGTGAGAAATCACACCCCACTCCCCGGGAGGATGGCCACGCCACAATCCCCTCTCCATTCCCCTCTTGGGATTTTGGGCACGCACGCACACGCGCCTGGTGTGAGTTTCAAGCCGTCCTGGGACCCGGACCAGAGTCGGCTGTGTGAGAGTTCAGTGCCTCCACCCCCACGCCACCTGCCGGCCCCCTCGGCAGCAGACACCTTAGCACCTGGCTAGACTCATAGCCCCACCTCCGTCAGGGTGCGGAACAGCTCCATCACCCCACAGACTCCCTTTGTGCCAGCTACCCGCATAGGAGCTTCGACTCCCAATCCACACCCCTCACCCCGGCACCCTCGGCTGTCTAGTTTTGCCTTTTCAAGGATGTCATGGGAGCCAGCAGGTGGCATGGTGATTAAGACGCAGGACTCCCATGTGGCCGACTGCAGTTCACGCCCCAGACATGGTAGCACGTGTTTGCCCAAAATTCCGGAAGGAGAATTGAGAAGGAACTGTGGTGTTGCCACGCCCCCCAGGAGGTGATTTTTCACTTTCTCTCTATTTCTCTGTCTCTCTGTCTTTCCAGGGAGCACACATTCCTAAGAGAAAAATCTTATTAAAAAAAAAAAAAAGTCATGTAAATGGGATGACACAGTATGTAAATTTCTTTCTTTCTTTCTTTCTTTCTTTCTTTCTTTCTTTCTTTCTTTTTGAGAGGTCTTTGCTGTAGGGCACGTGCGCTTGTCAGAAAGACAGAGAGAGACAGAGAGACAGAAAGCAAGAAATCACCCCCCCAGAGGAGGGGATGGCCACACCGCAGCCTCCATTCTCCTCTCTGGATCTTCTTGGGCACGCACGCACACGCGCCCGGCATGAGTTTAAGCCACCGGGCCCGGGACTGGAACCACAATCGACTACATGGGAGTCCAGCGACATAGCCATTACGCTAACTGCTGGTCCCCCATGGGCTTCTTACAAATGTCCTCTGTCAGACTGAGAAGTTCCCTTCTATTTCTAGTTCAGAGTTTTGCCCATTAACAAGTGTTGGGTTCTGTCAGGTGCTTTAGCTGAGTCGATAATAATCGTGTAATCCTTTGTTATATTCTTACGAAGTGAATCATTACACAGATTTTTTTTTTCACATTTCTTAATAAAATGGAAAAAGAGTCTTGCAAGAATGCATCTATATAGTATAATTCTAGAAAAGTATAAACATGTGCACAGTGTGGTCAGCAGGTGGCGTGGAGGTTAAGGCCCTGGATCCCACACAGCCGATTTCCCTGTTCCAGTCCCAGACCCGGCAGCTTCAGAGACACGCTGGGCACACGTGCATGCGTGCCCAAAATCCCGAGAGGAGGATGGAGGAGAAGGGACTGTGGCGTGGCCATCTCCCCCATGGGAAGTGGGTTTTGTTTTTTTTTTTGGTTGTTGTTTTTTTTGTTTTTGCAGTCTGAAAACAGCCACTGTTTATTTACTGACCAGATTACAAAACTAATCATGGCAGATACCTTAGTTCATCCTTCTAATAAGTCTGTCGATCTGGTCTTCCCTGTGGCCAGCATCTCCACCTTCTACAAAATGGGTGGTCTTTTTCTTCACTTCACCTCGTGGAAAAGATCATCAGAAGGGCCACAGGAAGTTATTTGCTTCTTTGAAGCGTTTTCCAACAGTATAGATGTCATGAATCGGATCCTCCATGCAGATGATGCCGAATTTACCAAGAGATCACGCAATCAAAGAGTTATCTGTCAAAGCAATTCACTTCTTACTGATTTTGCCATAACCACGTTTGTAGATCAGTTCATTTACTGACTTCAGGTCCGGGTATGCCCATGCAATATATGGTTCCACAATTCTCAGCATGTTCATTGAGGCCTTGTTGAGCTTAACAAAGGTGCCACTGAAGATCTGGCAAAGACGAAGAAGCTGCAACACCTTTCGAACCTTTGGGCTCACTCCACTGATCCCTCTGATCCTGATGACAAACGTCAGTTTGGGTTCTGCAGGTGCATAGAAGTTGCCAGCTTTTCTTGCCATCCTGGCCATGTGAATCTCAGTTCTGGACATCTGTCTATATTCCTTATGACAGTGCTCAGCTCTTTCATAGATCAGATTCCTTCTTGCCTTTCAAAGCGTCTTTTTTCTTTTTTGCTATAGGGTGTGTGTGCTCACCAGAAAGACAGACAGAGACAGAGAGACAGAAAGCGAGAAATCATCCCCCAGCGGGGATGGCCACACCGCAATCCCTTCTCCTCCATTCTCCTCTCGGGATCTTGGGCACGCACGCACACACGCCCGGCATGAGTTTAAGCCACCAGGTCCGGGACTCGAACCGCGGTCGACTACATGGGAGTCCAGAGACATGACCATAACACCAACTGCTGGTCCCTCAAAGCATCTTTTGAGCAAACTTCTTTCTCAGGCGCTTGATCTTCAGGTCGGCAAAATTCCTTTGCTTTTTCATAGCAGGAAGCTTTTTCTTGGTGGCTTCCACCCAGCGAGAGCCTTTTTCTTGGTTTCTACCTCTTCTGGAACCTTCTTTTTCTTCTCTCAACTGCCCTCCATGGTTCCATTCGGAAAAGAGGAGCCATGGGAAGTGGTTTCTCACCTCCCTACTCTCTCTGTCTCTCTCCAGCAAGCAAAAACTTACAGAAGAGTTGAGCTCAGCCACTTACATGGCCGAGGGAGACAGGATCATGATAAACTAGAACCAAGCACAAGGTACTGAGTAGACACACCCTTAAGAAACCAGGTACCTCTGAGCTGGAGGCCGGGCTCCGGAAGGCCCAGTGACCCGAATGGCGTTCAGTCTGATTCGTTTCCAGGGCTGCTTTCCCAGGACTTTGCGTGTCGTTTCGTTTAGACCCTACGTTCTTCACAAATGGCCTGTCATAGAGCCCAGCAGATGACGGAACAGTTACATCGCCAAACTCCCACACGGCCAACCACAGCTTGAAACTCATACCTGGTGTGTGTGTATACATGTGCCTAAGGTCTGGGAGGAGAATGGAGAAGGGATTGAGGTGTGGCCAACCCCCTGGGGGATGATTTCTTATTTTCTGTCTCTGCTGAGCAGCTGTGCCCTATAGCAAAAATCTTTTTTGGGGGGGTGGGTTTGCTATAGGGCGCGTGTGCTCACCAGAATGACAGAGAGAGACAGAAAGTGAGAAATCACCCCCAAGAGGGATGCCCACAGCGCAATCCCTTCTCCTCCATTCTCCTCTCAGGATCTTGGGCACGCACGCAGACGTGCCCAGCGTGAGTTTAAGCCACCGGGTCCGGGACTCGAACCACTTTCAACTACATGGGAGTCCAGCGACATAGCCATTACGCTAACTGCTGGTCCCAGCAAAAGCCTCTCTTAAAAAAAAAAAAAAGAGAAAGAAAAGAAAACAGGGACCAGCAGTTGGCATAATAGCTATGTCGCTGGACTCCCATGTAGTCGATCACAGTTTGAGTCCCAGACCTGGTGGCTTAAACTCACGCCGGGTGCATGTGCGTGCGTGCCCAAGATCCCAAGAGGAGAATGGAGGAGAAGGGATTGCGGTTTGGCCATCCCCCTTGAGGGGGTGATTTCCTGCTTTCTGTCTCTCTCTGTCTCTCTCTGTCTTTCTGCTGAGCGCACCTGTCAAAAAAAAGAAAGAAAAAATCTGTCATTGTACGGACCTACGGGTCCTGTGTGCGTGCCACATCTTCACACTTGGCGGCCTGGGCCCCCCGACGGCCGACGGGCACGGCACTGAGCTCCACCTCTCCGCAGGAATCTCCAGAACCTGCTGATCCTGACGGCCATCAAGGCCGACCACACGCGGGTCATGGACTACGTCAGCCGCCTGGACAACTACGACGCCCTGGACATCGCGGGCATCGCCGTGAGCAGCGCGCTGTACGAGGAGGCCTTCGCCGTCTTCCGCAAGTTTGACGCCAACGCCTCCGCCATCCAGGTGGGTGCCGGGCAGTCGCGTCGGACTCCAGCACCCACCGTAGCGTTGTCCCCGGGGGCAGCTGTCCCATGGCGCCTGGCCTTGACCGTCCAGCCCTGGGTACCTGCCGCGCGGCTCTGCGGTTCACCCTGGTGACTTAGGTGTCGGCTTTTCGGGGGTGCTCACTCCTTTCCCCCCTCACATTAGTCACCCCAGCCCATCCCATCAGCCACCGCAGGTCCCCTGGCCCGTCCCACAGGCCCCGCCTCGTCAGCAGGAGCTGTCCAGGGTTCGAGATAGAACTCCCAGGGCAACGCCTCCTGTCCCCCGTGCCTGCCCTCCCGTCTCCCCAAGAACGCTTTTCTCCTAAACCGCATCCCTTTCTTCTCAGTCCGTGAACCCGTGTTCAAGTCAGCGGTAAACCAGGGGACACCGCGTGGTGCCCCACCAATATTCTTCCTCCCCACCCTCTTCCTTGGCCATTTCGCTGTACCCACCTGTGAACCCTCCGGCCTAGAAGCCCTCCTTCTGTGCTCAGACAGGGGCAACGGTCTCCCTCGGAGGCAGGCCACCCCATCGTGTGACGTGCAGCTGCCACCCTCACCCCACTGCCACACGGCATGGCTCTTCCTGCAGCCCAGCACTTCGGGCTGCCTGGGCTCGCATCCTGCCCACAGCCTTCCTGAACCCCTCTCAGCGCACGTGCCCTTTTTATTTATTTATTTGGGGAGGCGGGTGCAGGGGAGAGGTTTTTGCTATAGGGCGCGTGCGCTCACCAGAATGACAGAGACAGAGAGACAGAAAGCAAGAAATCACCCCCCAGGGGGGATGGCCACGCCGCAATCCCTTCTCCTCCATTCTCCTCTCAGGATCTTGGGCACGCACGCACACGCGCCAGGCGTGAGTTTAAGCCACCGGGTCCGGGACTTGAACCACAGTCGACTACATGATCCACCCCTGGCCTTATCCAGCTTGACTCACAGCATACACATGCATTCCCAGCATGCACGGGGAGACCTTGGACACAAGCCCAGGACCTTTGCATGTGGGTCCGGCCACCGTATCGCTGTCAGTCCTGGATTCAATTCTTTCTGTGCTCACTTCAATCTCATGTAATGAATATTCTGGAAAGTTACACACTGAAGGATAACGCATCAGAAAATATTTTTTTACTCTGGTTGCCTTGGAAACATCCTTACAAAAAGTCTTCATTTTATTCCCAAGGCCCCAGAGGCTGCCCTCTGTCTCCCCACAACCCCCCC